GCTCTTTTTAGCAGTAATCACAATTCAAATACGTTGCAGATCTTTTCTGAGGGTGTTTAACGGATGTTAAAAAGCTTCCAGTGGCAGGTATGAATGCACTGCACTACAGACAGTAGTCACAAAACTAAACAAGAAACCTGGTGCCATCTTCCTAGTAAACATACTTGTATTACATTTAAAGGAAGAACTCTTGATCTGAATTGTTCAAGTTCTTCTGTAACTTATGCACTGTTTTCACTTTTTATTGAGCTGTCGAGTTACTAAAAGCTCAGTGAGATGATGGGATGATCCAGGATTTTGAAATATAGTATGATCATACTCTAGCAAGTTTCTTTCAAATACCTTACAACCAAAATAAAAATGAATGGAAACCAATGACTGTCTCGAACAGTTGTGAAAATACATGCAAATGTTTTTACTTGTAGGCTACAGTATGAAATTACATTTTTGGCTGGACAAATGGAGGCAGTTTACCTTCATGTTAATTGTTTGGTTAAATTAAGTAGTGTTTATGTCCTTAAGCGGCCATTTATCGTTTCTCTATATGACGTACAAGGTTTAACACTATAGCTTAGAATAACACAAAATAATAAAGAGATTGTGGTTTGAGTTTAAAAAGCAACAGTAACACCTCTACATGAAGCATGATGAAAATGAATACGTTTGGCAGGGGCTGTAAAAACATAAAATGATTAGAAGGGCATTTGGAGAGTGCAGACGCCCACCAAGGCTGTGTTCATAAGTGAAAGATAATGCATATACCCCCCCCCCACCCTTCCACGGCCAAATTAAATGGGGTTTTTCCTATATGGAAAATCGGCCCAGTATTTTATTTTTTAAATCCTGCTGACAAACCAACAAACCTAGCGGTAAACAAAACCTCCTTGGTAATGAAACAACATTCATTAACAGTTAACAGGACCTTAACCAATCGGTTAGAGACTAGATGTGTGGCTGTGGGCTGTTTTCTTTGAAGTTTGCTCAACCAGAGACACAAACACTATGCTGTTACTAAGAGATCACACCGACTGTACAATTATACTAATGTGTTTCCTTCAGGAAAGAGGTTGTATGGGAGAATAAGCAGCCAGCTGTTGTTGTTCTTTCTCTTTCTCTCTTTCTCTCTCTCTCTCTCCCATATTCAGAGCATGTGGTCCTTTATTAACACACATCTCTCCTTGAAAGAAAGACACACAATTCAGGAAAATCTTATCAAACTGATACATTTTCACTCCTTCCTTCTTAGCTTGAAAAAAATAACCTGATGGTTTGTTTGAAGCTCTAGCATAGCACCATCATGGCTGAGTCAAAAAAATAAAAATAAAAAAGTATTCTGATGTTCCATCCATGCATCTTCTCCCGCTTATCTGTGGTCGGGTCGCGGGGGTAGCAGTTCCAGCAGAGAGCCCCAAACTTTATTTTCCCTGGCCACATCAACCAGCTCTGACTGGGGGATCCCAAGGCGCTCCCAGGCCAGCGAAGAGATATAATCCCTCCAGCTGGTCCTAGGTCTACCCCTTGGTCTCTTCCCAGCTGGACGTGCCTGGAACACCTCCCTAGGGAGGCGCCCAGGTGGCATCCTTACTAGGTGCCCGAACCACCTCAACTGGCTCCTTTCGACGCGAAGGACGAGCGGTTCAACTCTGAGTCCCTCCCGGATGACTGAACTTCTCACCTTATCCCTAAGGGAGACACCATCCACCTTGCGGAGAAAACCCATCTCGACCGCTTGTATCCGCGATCTCGTTCTTTCGGTCATGACCCATCCTTCATGACCATAGGTGAGGGTAGGAACGAAAAGGGCCCGGTAGACAGAGAGCTTGGCCTTCTGGCTCAGCTCCCTTTTCGTCACAACGGTGCGGTAAAGCGACTACAGTACCGCTCCCGCTGCTCCGATTCTCCGGCCCATCTCACGCTCCATTGTTCCCTCACTCGAGAACAAGACCCCGAGATACTTGAACTCCTTCACTTGGGGTAAGGACTCATTCCCTACTTGGGGTGGACAGTCCATCGGTTTCCTGCTGAGAACCATGGCCTCAGATTTGGAGGTGCTGATCCTCATCCCAGCCGCTTCACACTCGGTTGCGAACCGATCCAGTGAGTGCTGAAGGTCGCAGACCGATGAAGCCATTAGAACCACATCATCTGCAAAAAGCAGTGGTGCAATCCTTAGTCTACCGAACTGCAGACCCCCTCCCCCACGACTACGCCTCGAAATCCGATCCATGTATATTACAAACAGGATTGGTGACAAAGCGCAGCCCTGGCGGAGGCCAACCCTCACCGGAAATGGGTCCGACTTACTGCCGAGGACCCGGACACAGTTCTCGCTTTGGGAGTACAGAGATTGGATAGCCCTGAGTAGAGACCCCCTCACCCCATACTCCTGCAGCACCTCCCACAGTAAATCTCTGGGAACTCGGTCATACGCCTTCTCCAAGTCTACAAAACACATGTAGACCGGATAAGCGTACTCCCAGGCCCCCTCCAGAATCCTTGCGAGAGTAAAAAGCTGATCCGTCGTTCCACGACCTATCCAGACATTGTTCCTCCTCAATCTGAGGTTCGACAATCGGCCTGACCCTCCTTTCGAGTACCTTAGAGTAAACTTTCCCGGAGAGGATGAGTAGTGTGATGCCTCTGTAATTGGCACACACCCTCTGATCCCCCTTTTTGAAAAGAGGAACCACCACCCCGGTCTGCCACTCCTTTGGTACTGTTTCCGACTTCCACGCAATGTTGATGAGACGTGTCAACCATGACAGTCCCTCAACACCCAGAGCCTGCAGCATTTCTGGGCGGATCTCATCCATCCCCGGGGCTTTCCCACCGTGGAGTTGTTTGACGACCTCAGTGACCTCCCCCCGGGAGATTGGTGTTGATCCCCCGTCATACTCCAGCTCTGCCTCTAACATAGAGGGCGGAGTTGTCGGGTTCAGGAGTTCCTCAAAGTGTTCCTTCCAACGCCCTAACACTCCATCAGTTGAGGTCAACAATGTCCCATTCTTACTGTACACAGCTTGGATGGTCCCCTGCTTCCCTCTCCTGAGGTGTCGGACAGTTTTCCAGAACAACTTTGGTGCCGCCCGAAAATCCTTTTCCATGTCGTCTCCGAACTTCTCCCACACCCGCTGCTTTGCCTCGGCCATGGCCGAGGCTGCTGCCCTTCCGGCATGTCGGTACCTTGCAACTGCCTCGGGAGTCCCCCGGGATAACAAATCCCTGAAGGCCTCCTTCTTCAGTCGGACGGCTTCCCTGACCACCGGTGTCCACCAGGAGGTTTGAGGGTTACCGCCCCTTGAGGCACCTAAGACCTTGAGACCACAGCTCCCCGCCGTGGCTTCAGCAATAGAGGCTTTGAACACCGACCACTCTGGTTCAATGTCCCCAACCTCCACAGGAATGCCCGAAAAGCTCCGCCGGAGGTGTGAGTTGAAGGCCTCCTGAACTTGGGCCTCCTCCAGACGTTCCCAGTTCACCCGAACTACACGTTTGGGCTTACCAGGTCTATCCAGAGGCTTCCCCCGCCACTCGACCCAACTCACCACCAGATGGTGATCAGTTGACAACTCCGCCCCTCTCTTTACCCGTGTGTCCAAAACATACGGCCTCAGGTCCGATGATACAATAACGAAATCGATCATGGACCTTCTGCCTAGGGTGCTCTGGTACCACGTACACTTATGAGCATCCTTATGTTCGAACATGGTGTTTGTTATGGCCAATCCATGACTAGCACAGAAGTCCAGTAACAAACCACCACTCCGGTTCAGATCAGGGGGGCCGATTCTGATGTTGTCTTCATTTATTACATGGATATAGAGGAAGGGAGTTATTCAGGTCAGTCGAAGAAAATATCCTTTTCCAGCTTACTGTAGGCTTTCCTATTCCTTCCAGTTACAATTAATGAGGAGATATAGGCAAAAAAAGTCGACTCGACTCTCAAGACACACATTTAAAGTCCCCCTGTGACCTTGTGGGGCTTGTGCCATATGGCCAAACTGTGCCTGGTTTGGAGAAACACCCTCCTTCTTCTCTTGCTCTTTCTCATATTTCCTGTCTGTCTCATCTGGAAAAATTTCCTAATGTCCAATGTATGTTGCTTATATAGTCAGAGAACAGTATATACTGGTCTTAATGTGTCATCCTCTCTAAATCATCAAATCATCTTACCAGTCAGGCAGTGGCTGGATGAAACGGCTAAGATCTGTTCATCAATTTCCAAAATGAGCTTCACGTTTCTAAAATTAATGATATTGAATGAAAGTTTGATTCTTAACATGATTGAACTATGGAATTCAGGTTAACATTTATCTGACACGTTTGCTTACAAAATGATATTTCTGGGGATGTCATTTTCAGGTTTTTTCACATTAAACCCTCAATATGCACTGATTATCTGACACATACAGCAGCCATATGTCTCTTTGCTGGTGTCAGGTATCAGGGCCCAGCAGACGTGTGAGGTAGGGACACTCAATCAATACAGATTGTGCTGGCCATGCTGCAGCGAGGACAAGCCTGGTCAGATGTATAACAAAGATCAGATGAGTATTTCACAGCTTTATTAGCTTTACAGTTTGAGCGAATAATGTATCCTTCAATAAAACATAGGAAATACCAACATGTTGACTGTGACTTACAGATAACATTGTATATGTGTAGGTCCATAACTTAAGTGTGGAAGACTGAGAGAACCTCTTATATTACACAATGGGTGGGAAGCTGATTTAAAAAAGTCTTTCTCTTAAGGCAGAGGCTGGATCATGCATCTTTTCCTATCCATCTAATAAATAGGGAAAAGAGAGAGAAAGAGAATATGTCTTTGTCATCCTCTCTCTCCCGTCTGTGCAGTGGCTGCTGCAGGACAGCCCTGATCTCAGACATCCAATACGGAGAGAAGGAAATGTGAACAGGGGGAGGGGCTTGCTAGAAAGGGAGCCAGGCTCAGCCTATGAGAGTGAAGGAGAGGTGTTTCAGCCCAGAATGCCCTTGCCTCAGCGCTGAGAGCAGGGGGAGACAGAGAGGAAGAAGAGTGAAGCCGGGATAGAGACACCAGCAGGTGCAGAGGGTAGAAACAAGCAGGGTGCCAAAGAAAAAGCTAGGAAATCAGGGAAAAGTGAGTTAAAAGTAAAACAAATAGTCAGACAGAAACCATACCATCATCTTAGTTTTTATAAGCTGGAGCCCACTTATTTTCAGACAGCCTTCTGAGCTATTTACCCTCATTTACTTGACGGATTCTCCTTCCTCCTCTTCTTCATCCAGTCATCCTCTGTGACAGTCAGAGCCACCATGAATACCGGGAGCCCCAGGAAGATACAGTTCACCGTTCCCCTTCTGGACACACACCTGGACCCAGAGGCAGCAGAACAGGTGAGGGGCAGAAAGTGGAGGATGGTTTAGTTTAGAGGGACTTTTAAAGGTTTCTTTAATGTGTCAGTGGCTTAATTAGACTTTATCAAGATTATTGTGGAATGATTAGAAAGGAAATCAGAGTTTGTGCTTGTCACAAAAAACAGAGAAACATTTGTGCCAGCCATCAAAGCAAGGGCTGCAGTAATAACTGAGCATCTCAGCTGGAATAAAAAGCGCAGTGTGCTGTGTCCAAAATGCATGATGACAAATTTCCACTTTGAAGGAACCACATTTTCAGCTTCCTATTACTCTCTTACACATAATTAGCCAGCTGTGTCTTTTGAATACAGCGCTAAAGTAATCATGATTAATTTAGGATTGATTCTTCCAGTTCCTCTCACAGCGAAGCAGGTTCTTGGAGACACAGTATGTCAGCAGTGATACAAAGGGGTGTTGCAGTGAATAGATCTCCAAGGGTTTGTTGTTTTGGTTTTACTGACTGGTTGCACGCACTGTACAGCAGTGAGATACTGACAATAGTTGCTAAGTATCAAAAGATAAACTTGCTCCAAATCTGCTATCAGCAATGAAATACTTTTATCACATACATCTCAAATGGATCTAAATAATAAATTGTAACTGTGTTACATAGCTGACTTCGAAGCACATTCCACTGGGGGAAGTCAGAAAAGATGGAAAGATATTCACTTGTTTTTAAATCCTATAAACTCAACATTAAGGATTCAAAAGAAAATAACTCTTATTACTGACTGAAAAACCCAGTGGGTGCTACTCATGTGTCTTTAGAGAATGCAGTTAATAGGTGTGTCCCATTTTCTCGTTTTTTATAAATATAACATAGGCAGGTTATTAATTACAAATGAGCATCGAGTCAAAAGATTTATGAGTCTGGGTGCACTCGTTTTAGTATCTCTCTATTTCTGCTGGTCACTCTTTTCCCAACTGTGACAGTAAGAAAAGAGATGTTGGGAAGACTGCTTTTAGCATGTATGTGAGTTTGCTTTTGAGAGGACATTTCACTGGATTGTTTGGGATAAAAGGCTCAGTTTGAGTTAGAGCTAATGAGTATTATTAGGCTCAAATGTGAGGAACACAATGAGCACACTGTTTAAATCCTCCATAATGTCCTTCTCTGCACACAAATTTGACTTGAGCTGGAAGTGTAATAACTTCCACTCAAATTGAAAGGAGAACAAGGAGAATGTAAAATGTTTACATTCTTTCTTGTGGTTTGCAATCTTTAAGTGTGAAAATAAGTGATGTTATTTCATCTTTTGTTACCGTTGATACTTTTCTCTACGGTAACCCAACCCAGTCTCATGGCATTTCGTGTTCACCAACACGATTTTTAATCTATTGATTCGTGTTCACCAACACAATTTCCCCCTTTTTTTTCGTGTTGCACAGCACGATTTTAAAAGCAATGTATTTCTACTGGTAATGACGCTCATGGAAGCACGGCATTCGTTTGTGTCGGCTGCCCTTAAAGGCAATGTGAGCGTACATTCTCATTGGATAACGGAGAATTGTACACCCGGAAGTAAGTATTCCCCTTACTGTCGATTGATTTTACAGTGATATCTGCACTACTCATCGACTAAAAAACACCAGATTATCCTTGTTAATTACACAACATTGATTGGTTTAAATTGTGTGCAATGCTTTTGTATTGTTCCCCTTCGATTCGGAGAAACAAATATTTTTTTCGGAGTAAAGGATGGCAGAAGACACTACACTACCCAGAATCCCCAGCTATCGTTTGGACTACACCATGTGCTCTGTTTGACAAACCCCGTGATAGTCCTCAAGCTCTGTGATTGGAGAGTGTGCTCCGAGGGTTACGCCGAGCCTCGAACTTGAAATGGGATGGAACCACGGCAGACTGTCCAAAACTGGATTTGAACGGGTCCACCGTGTCCCCCCCTCCCCCACCCTGTCCCCAGAACTACACATGCTGGCTATTCTGTTTCGCAACATGTTCTCTATCTATGGCACGTCTCTACTGGGAGTTGTAGTTTTAAAAGACGTTTTCGTATTTCCCATAATAAGAAGTTGCCAGTATTAAACTGTGTACATCCCTGGAGGTTTAGGGGATAGGAAAAATAAAATAAATGGGTGAAAATTGCTTGTGCCCATAATGGGCAGCATTAATATATACACAAATGCCAGCTAAGGTCAGAAGAGCTTTATTTAACAGCCGGTCTTATGTTTGTGACCCCTGTTGTTAATTGATAACATTACATTACATTAATTGATAAGCCTGAAACATGCACTTGTCAAGGTTCAGAGGCACATTTTGCAAATATGGCAGTATCCATCGATCAGCTTAAGATAAGATATACTTTATTGATCCCAAGTTGGAACATTTGCGTTACATCAGCATGTGTAACAGTTGTAAATATGCAGTGGTGTTTATTTGTAAATCATTTAATATAATCACACAAATTCTGTGTTTTATATTTAACAATTCTGTGTTCTTTATTTATTGATTGTTCAATACCTGACAAGGCCGGAGATGAAATATCTACATACATCTTATAAGAGTATAATACATTATGTATAATATCAGTTAAAATAAGTGCTTCAACATAGTTAACATTGCTGGAGGTATGCACAAATATTGATAGATGTTGAGGAACCTGAGACCCAAGTTTTTCATTCAATGCATAACTACACCATAGTTGTGTAGGCCTATATGATATGTCAATAAACCTTAGAAAATCTTGAAAGGGATGTGCAAAATAGTCATTATATACAGTCTTTAATTAACTATTAGTAGAGAATAACGAGTAATGAATATACTTTATAGGGATCCTATTAATATCTAATAATAAAAATAATGAAATTCAATAACATGCTTTAACCACTAGGTGTCCCTTTATATCAGCTGTGCACCTTTATGGTGTAAATACAGCTTATCTACCAATTGGATCAAATATAAAAGTCAGCCGAATTAATGTTGATACTGCAAGGAGACGTATTGTGTGAAAATAAATGTAAGATGTTGTTTAATGGCTGATATATTTATGATCCACGTGTTATGACATTAGGGTCATGAAGAGTGAGATCGCTACCCCTTTAAGAGAGGGGTGTGGCGCGTGCATGTGAGAGTGGGTATGGTAGAGCGAGAGTGAGCGAGCGGTATGTTTTTCTGGAAATGAAACGAGGCAGCGGTAAAAAGCCTAGGTCTGTGATGTATCTTGTGAAACGGAAGAACTGAATAAATACAACGGGCTCGCCTCTCTCCAGTGATTTCATAAAGTGGGTTATTGAATCCGAAGCGTGTTGCTTCTGCCCTGGGAGAAGACAGAGAGTCACCCCCCCCTGTTTCCTCGACCACGGTCTGGGAGCCGACAGGGAAAGTTCAACACACGTCACGTTTTCAGTTCCTCATGTTTGTCTAGAAGTTTTCTCATCAGGGCTCTATAAATACAGAACTACGGCAGATATGCAATATTTAATGCAGCCGAACCGTGTATTACAATGCCGTTATGTGATGACTTTCAAAGAGAAAAGCAAGCACACTCGGAATAAAGTATTATTTTATTTTTGTAATGTTTTCGGTCTGTTTCCGGTATTTGTTAAGACGATGTGCTGTGAGATGTGAGACTGGAATTGCACAGGGGGAAATAACGTAGGCTATCTTTAGATGCGGATTTTGTTAAACTAATATGTTTGCGCTGTGGACCAACACTATACATTGACGGGGAAGGGGGGGTAGCAATAAAGATAACACCATTAAACAGTTACACAACAATGAAAACGTTCTCTGGACGCAATTTCCTGAAGTAATCTTCGTAATAACTAGCAAACTAAAGATCATGTACATCCACTGCACACATAATCTGAAATAACAACTCATATTTCTCGCATCAAATGACATCAAAACGCATTTTAATGGCCAAACTAACTTTAAAATAGGCATTTTCCACCGAGAATAAAACGAAGTTCGGCCATGTTTTTTTTTTCTGCAGGGAGAAATTTGAAGATCACGTGACATAGACGCCAGCCATTGGAATGAATGGTGAACAAAAACGGGGTTTGTCAAACAGAGCACATGGTGTAGTCCAAACGATAGCTGGGATTCTGGGTAGTGTAGTGTCTTCTGCCATCCTTTACTCCGACAACATTTGTTTCTCCAAATCGAAGGGGAAAAATACAAAAGCATTGCACACAATTTAAACCAATCAATGTTGTGTAAGGATAATCTGGAGTTTGTTAGTCGATGAGTAGTGCAGATATCACTGTAAAATCAATCGACAGTAAGGGGAATACTTACATCCGGGTGTACAATTCTCCGTTATCCAATGAGAATGGACGCTCACATCACCTTAAAGGTAAGGGCAGCCGACACAAACGAATGCCGTGCTTCCATGAGCGTCATTACCAGTAGAAATACATTGCTTTTAAAATCGTGCTGTGCAACACGAAGAAAAGGGGAAAATCGTGTTGGTGAACACGAATCAATAGATTAAAAATCGTGTTGGTGAACACGAAATGCCATGAGACTGGGTTGGGTAACCACAGGCATAGTCAAATCAGCTGGTCTGAAATCTCCCGGATTTAATGAATCTGCCAGAAGTTGAGCATTCGAGGGAGTGATTATCCAGGCCTGAAACGTATTGGTTTGTTCCAGTGTGGAACTAAGAAACATTATTGCATATTTTATTGTCCTACTGTTATTTGAAACTCTGTGTCCGTGAATTGGTGCCTGTGGTACATTTGTAAAAAGGTATTTTGTTACCGTTGATACTTTTGAAATGTTCCCAGTAATATCAAACTAGCTTTGCGTAGCTAGATATGTCATGTCAGTCATTAATACTACAACAAAATGTAACTTTGAGAGCACTCCCTGGTTACGCTTTTGCCCAGTGAGGCGGGACTGCTCTCTCCATAGCAACACATAAATTGACATCTACAAAGTGATATCAATGAAAGAATACTTGTTTTCATAGGTATTCACTGGTTTTAATTGGACAAAACTAGCCTATAGGCCT